TCAAAGACTGTAAAGATTATCTGACTGATTCAAATCACAAATTCTAACAGTTAAGTTGCTATCAATCCAGCCAAACGTGTATGTGGATAGACAGACAACAGATAAATAAGATGCATATTTACCCTGATCAGCCTTTCATGGATTAAGTGTACAATTTTTATTATCTTTTTGAAATAGTTGAACTAATGTCTGTATAGCTATTATTATCTGGCTAGGAAACATTAGTTTAATATTCTGATACACACACATAAATATTGCATTTAAAATAGTTACATGAGACTGAAAACTGAACATAATTCTTTAGAGCAGGATTATAAGGTGGAAAAGTCTTTAGGAACTTACAAACCCACACTTAGTTGTCTTGTTTCCTAGAGCAGGTCCTTCTTAGTACCACTGTAGTGTTATAAGATAAAGGAAAATGTAGTCCTGCCTCCTTGACTCTTAGTACCTAGAAGTCACAGATACCTCTTCAGCAGCATTTTCAGATAATGAGGCATTGCTACTGTCATCCAACTTGTTTTCCTCCCTCACTCCTCTATTGTCACCTGGAAGACTCATGTAAAAGTAAAGCGGAATGCCTTTGGGAATCAAACTAGAATAGTAGTCAGTAAACAATTACAGGCAAACTGTGACTACACTTCAGGAAACAAATGTAAAAGAGTTAAGCAAAATTGAAGTTGATTTCTTTAACCACAAATATAGATAGTTGGTCCAGAGTTGGAATGGTGGCTCCATGATGTCAGGGCTCAGGATCGTTCTCTCTCATTCTATTGTACTAGATCATCTGATCATCTTGAACTTGTAGATTCCATATGGTGGTCCAAGAGGGCTGCAGGCATCTTGGACTCGTACCCGGCACCCAAACTGGCAGGTAAACTGCAAACCAAGAGAACAAGAAGGGCCTACCACTCCTTTAAGATATTTCATAGCAGCTGCACATACAGCTCCCATTTATATGCCATTGGTCACAATTTGGTCATACAGCCAACCTAGCCATAACAGAGGGTGGAAATGCATTCTTTGTATCATGCACCCAGGTACACCGCTGAAACTTGGGGACTCTATTACTACAGATTTAAAAAGGGATTGTGACCCCAAAAAAAGTTTTTTTTAAAAAAATAGAAGACAGTATCAAATAGTGGGGGATAAATAGCAGCCCCATCCTAAAGTTTCTCTTTCCCTTTTTTGTAACGACCAATGTTACAGTACTTATTAAGGACTGAGTACTCTCCTAAGTATTGTTGGTTTTGTTTTGGTTGTTTGATTGATTCATTAAATCCTTACAATAACACTCTGGGTAAGGTTCTATTATTCACTTTTTACAATTGAGGAAATTGAAGCACAGAGAAATGAAATAACTTGCCCAAGGTAACACAGCTAGAAAATTGCAGAGGTGGAATTTGAACCAGGCAATTTGACTTATCCATTATGCTATACCACCTTCTCTCTGCTATATTTCAAAATATTTTTAGTTCTTTAGATGAGGCAAGGAAAAAGGCCTAATCTACATAATTTTTTATTCAGAAAATAAGGATAGAGTAATTTTTTATTCAGAAAACAAGGGTGTAAGGGTAATATAAGGGTAATATTAGGGTATAAGAGTAATTTTTTTATTCAGAAAACAAGATACAAGGGTAATATACCTATTAGCTAGTAATGTCTTTTTCTTTTTCTTTCTTTCTTTTTTTTTTGAGACAGAGTCTCACTCTGTGGACCAGGCTGAAGTACAGTGGCACAATCTCGGCTCACTGCAACCTCAGCCTCCCGGGTGCAAGCGATTCTCCTGCCTCAGCTTCCTGCGTAGCTGGGATTACAGGCGCGCGCCATCACGCCAGGCTAATTTTTTGCATTTTTAGTAGAGACAGGGTTTCACCACGTTGGTCAGGCTGGTCTCGAACTCCTGACCTGCTGATCCACCCACCCGCCTTGGCCTCCCAAAGTGCTGGGATTACAGGCGTGAGCCACCGTGCCCGACCAATTAGCTAGTAATTTCAAAGACTCACTTATAGGTCCTTTTTCTACATTCAGGGCCTTTTCAACTCCTATTTCCCTTTCCAGAATCATTTTTGCAAGTCTGCTTCCTTATCATTCAATTCTGAATTCTAATGTCACGTCCTCAAAAAAGTCTTCCTGACCATCCTATTTAAATTTGCAGCTATCTCCACTCATCATTTTTTCTTTCACAGCACTTGTCACCCTCTAAAATCATTTTTTATACTTACTTGTCTATTGCTTGTCTCTCCCTACCAGAAGGTAAGGTTTAAGACGCATGTTTTCTCTACCTCATTCTTCCCAGTTGCCTCAGCATCTATGCATGCAATTCGTATTTGGTAAATATGAGAAAAATAAAAATAGCCCTTGGTGTCACCAACAGAACTGACACTTCAGTGTTGTTAGGAATTGGCTGTGGTGTTCCCCTGTTAAAACATAACAATCTCACAAAACACTAACATCATACTGAGAGGTGACAATGTGCTAGCAGCCCTCACTCTCAGCGCCTCCTTGGCCTCCGGCCTCCGCGTCCACTCTGGCAGGGCTTGAGGAGCCCTTCACCCCGCCACGGCACCGTGGGAGCCCCTTTCTGGGCTGGCTGAGGCCTGAGCCTCCTCCCTCTGCTTGCGGGGAGGTATGGAGGGAGGAGACGCGTGGATGGGAACCAGGATTGCGCTGGCGGTCAGGTGTGAGTTCCGGCGGGCGCCCGCGCAGGCGCGGGTTCTGGCTCAGCATCCCGCACACGGAGCAGCCGCGGGCACCACAGGCCCAGGGCAGTGAGGGGCTTAGCACCCGGGCCAGCAGCTGCAGAGGTTGCGCCCGGTCCCCAAGCAGTACCGGCCCGCCAGCGCTGCACTCAAAATCTCACCGGATTTAGCTGCCTCCCGGCGGGGCAGGGCTTGGGACCTGCAGCCCGCCATGTCTGAGCTCCCCGTCTGCAGTGGGCTCCCGCCTCCCCAACGGGCGCCGCCCCCTGCTCCGTGGTGCCCGGTCCCATGGACAGCCCAAGGGCTGAGGAGTGCAGGCGCGGCTCCCGAGGGGCGGGCAGCTCTGCCTGCATCCCTGGTGCAGGATCCACTAGGTGAAGCCAGCTGGGCGGGGATGGGGAACTTTTATATCTAGCTAGAGGCTTGTATGCACATCAATCAGCACTCTGTGTCTAGCTCAGGGTTTGTAAATACACCAATCAGTACTCTGTGTCTAGCTCAAGGTTTGTGAATACACTCTGTATCTAGCTAACCTACTGGGGACTTGGAGGACTACCACTCTATGATTGTGTCTGGCTCAAGGATTGTAAAGGCACCAACCAGCACTCTGTCTAGCTCAGGGTTTGTAAATATACCAATCAGTACTCTGTGTCTAGCTCAAGGTTTGTAAATACACCAATTGGTACTCCCTATCTAGCTAACTCTGTATCTAGCTAACTAGCACTCTGTGACTCTGTGTCTAGCTCAAGGATTGTAAACGCACCAATCAGCACTCTGTCAAAACGGACCAATCAGCTCTCTGTAAAGTGGACCAATCAGCTCTCTTTAAAATGGACCAATCAGCAGGATGTGGGTGGGGCCAGATAAGCGAATAAAAGCAGGCTGCCGGGCCAGCAGTGGCAACCCAGGTCCACTTCCACACTGTGGAAGCTTTGTTCTTTTGCTCTTTGCAACAAGCCTTGCTGCTGCTCACTCTGTGAGTCCATGCTGCCTTTGTGAGCTGTAACACTCACCAGCAAAGGTCTGCAGCTTCACTCCTGACAGGGAGACCACAATCCACCAGAAGGAAAAAGCTCCAGACACATCTGAACCTCTGAAGGAACAAAACTCCAGACACACCATCTTTAAAAACTGTAACACTCACCCTGAGGGTCTGCGGCTTCATTCTTGAAGTCGGTGAGACCAAGAACCCACCAAGTTCGGACACAGTACCAGATCATTCTGTGATCGTAATGAAGTGAGACAACAAACAAGATCACACTATTTTTGCCTAACCAGATTTTTAAAAAGGTCACTGTGGAAACTACAAAAATATCAAACTATCCTCCTCCCCCAGCTAATATGATTGTTGCTTCTTTACTGATTACAGCTTTAGCCGTGCACTTTTCCTCCCTCCTAAAGGTAAGATGTAGTATGATCCCCAATGGCAGCGGACCCCACAGCCAATGCGCACTGAGACACTCCACAGCCAATCCCAAGCCACATCAGGCTCGCCCCTGCCTGTACACAATAATTTCTCTATGCACCTAATCGTCTTCTGAAACTCCCTGTACCTAGCTGAAGAGTATATTCCTTTAAGCAATGATTACTTTTGTTCCCTCCTTTAGAACTGAAAAACAATGCTAACGCCTCTCCCACTCCCTCTAGCCTCTCATCCTCTTAAAATAGAAGAGGAAAAAAATCCAAACATAAAACTCAATTTTTAACAAAAACTCTCCTTTCGCTGACACTGCCCTCCCCAAATAAGTCACCAGTGGGTTCCTTCCTTGTTTTCCTAGAGACTTTTCTTTTTTGTATTTTAGTGTCATTTTTCTTCCTCCTTCAGTCTGACATGTCCCTTTCATTCTTAGTTTGCTGATCAAACTCATATTAAGGAAAATAAGTTCCTTTCCGCTTTTTAACCCCTCACCCCCATCTCAAATGACAAATGCATCTAGGAATCCCTTTTCACACTCACTCTGGCATTGCCCTCTCTCAGGAACCTTCCAAAGTTATTCTAACCCGACCCCTCCACTTGTACAAGCCCATTGGCCCCATAGCTTGCCCATCCTTGCAAACCAGTACTCCTCCTATAACCTGCCTCAACCCGATCAATCCCATATATCCGATTCGAGCCCTGGGCCCTAATTCCATACCCATATCCAAGTCCCCGCCCCGCTAACTCCAGTCCCGCACCTATGCTTGCCCGGCCGACTCCACAGCCAATGAGTTCCCCGAGTCCACACCCATAGCCAATCCCCGGCCACGTCCAGGCCCGCCTCCATCTTGTCCCCTTCCTCACTCAAGCCCAACCCGCGGCCCCCACCCCTTCCCTCCTCCATTTCCATCCGGTCCGCGATCGCGGCGGACCCTACAGTCAACGCGCGCCGTGAGTCACACTCCACAGCCAATCCCTGGCCACATCCGGGCTCGCCCCCGGCCCGCCCCATTGTTCCCACAAGCCCGGAACCCACCAAATCCCGCCCCTCCCCTCCCAAAAAAACACCCCTTATCCAGTCTTTTCCAGCCTAGAGATCACAGCGTAGCCCTCAGCCAAAGCGCGCACTGAGTGCAAACCCCAGAGTCAGTCCGTGTCCCGGCTCCGCCCCCCGCGTCCGAATCCCGCCCAGCCAGGCCCTCAAGCCCAGGCGGGTCTCGAGCCTGGAGAGGCGAGGTTCCCGCACCAGATAGGTGAGTGGGGCGGGCGCGCGGCGCGGCTCGGCGCGGCGCTTCCGTGCGGACTGACGAGGGCCTTTCCGGCCTGCGGGGCGAGGGGACGGAGGCCGGGCTGCTCTTGCCTGAGTCACGCGGGAGCCGCCTGCTGGGGCGGCTGCAGGGAGTCGGCCCTGGATTAACAGTTTGAGGGGAAGGCGCCGAGGTGACTGGTCTCCAAGAGGGATCCCCTAGACCCGGTCACCGTCTTGGCGCTTTTACTCTTGATTTCGCTGTTTGGCCTTTTAGAAGGTAGTCTGAGAAGAGTGACTTTGGGACTCTTAATTTAAAAATCCAAAAGACGCTGACGCCTATAATCCCATCACTTTAGGAGGCCGAGGCGGTCGGATCATGACGTCAGGAGATCAGTTAGCCATCCTGGCTAACACGGTGAAACACCGTCTCTGCTAAAAATACAAAAAATTAGCTGGGCGTCGTGGCGGGCGCCTATAGTCCCAGCTACTCGGGAGGCTGAGGCAGGAGAATGGCGTGAGCCCGTGGGCGGAGCTTGCAGTGAGCCGAGATTGCGCCACTGCACTCCAGTCTGGGCGACAGAGCGAGACTCCGTCTCAAAAAAAAAAAAAAAAAATCCAAAAGGAGGATACCAAGGCTGTTACGTTGCCTTATAAATGAAGCTTAGCAGAATCCAACATCTGTAGTTAAAAGAGAAAAGTAGTCAAGTCTGTTGCTTTTGGAGTCAAGTGGCGCAGAAATGGCCTTCCTTCGCTTCTCCCACGCGTGGCTCCTTAGCGGCCACCTGAGGAGGACTGGGGCTGCAGGTCAGCCCTTAGCAAGTCTGACCTCGGGAGCTAAAACCGAATTCCTGGTATCACCCAGGCAGCCACACTGCTTTCCCTCTGGAGAAGTTTATAGTTACACGAATCCCATTTTCGTAGAACAGGTTTTCAGCAGTTTCAGGCTGGTGTCTCCTTAAATCATGTGCTGCCCAACTTTGGCCAATTCTTTCCGCTGTTGTTCTAAAGACGTAGCTTTGAAGCCCATCCTTCCACAGTACTCCCCCGTCCAGGACTTTGTTCACCGCCTAGATTCCCTGTGTTGTATCAGTGAACCTTATAAACATTCTAGAAGCAAACTAACAAGGTAGAGTATGAAAGGAAAATCAGTTTTCCAGTGGTCGGACTCTTGTAACAGTGTGGGCGGCGCATTATTAGCTGTAGCCCTTTTTGCCTCATGTTAATCTTGCTTGAACTTGCAGTTAACCCAGATGTTCTGGGCTTTGTCAAATTAAATCTCTTCCTACCTCTCCTCCCCATGTGTAAAGTATAAATTGATCATTTGGATTTAAGTCTGGAGCTTTAAGCTTCATAAGATTTATTTTGACTGCCTTGTCTGCCTTTTAGCCTTATATTCGGCCCTCAAAAATTCACCAGCTTTCTCAGCTTCAGGCCACCCCCAAATCTGCCAAGCATGCCTTCTGAATCTTCATTTTAAACAGTCTAACCCATTGATAATAATTCAACAGTTTCATTTCTATAGATCGTGCGTTTTGGAATGTGGACTTTATGCATAATATGCTATAATTAGATCACATAGATCATCCTGATTCATAAGTTGCCAGGTTTTCTGCACAGAAGTTGTTTTTAGGGAGAAAAATACAATGAAAATATTGTTTAGAATTAAGAGCCATATACCTTTTTATTTTCTTCTATCTTTTCGGTGACATCTAAATTTAATGTATTTATCTCATTGGTGAATATATATATGCAGTGTTGATTGCATTAGAAAATGCTGCTCAAAATGTGTTTACTTAATAAAATACCTGGTACCTAGAGAGTATGGCTCACCCAGTCTGGGGTGAAATCTCCCAGAAGCTGCACTCCAAGCTCACTTGCTTTTATTATTAGCACATTACCTCCATCATGCGGTGTACTTCCTGGCAACTGACCCAGCTCTTCCTTTCTCTTCCATTGTCCAAAGTTTCAACTGTTCTCTTTTGGGACAGTTGTGCCATAATCAGCAAATTCCATTGTATCTTTATGTCTTTAGAGGGTTCCCTCTACCTGCTTGCTTTAACTCAAACCTTATTAATTTATTCATCTATTGTGAAAAATGGAGAAACTGAGGCCCAGCAGGAGTCCATAACTTGACTACAGATAGAAACTTCTTAAGATTGAATTTGACTTTAATCTCTTAATGTGGTGAATCACATTAATAGGTGTCTTATATAAACCCAACCCCCCTTGGTCATGATGTATTATTCTTCTTGTATACTACTGGGTTTGATTTGTTAGCATTTTATGTAGAAGTTCTATTTAGTTTCCATAGATTAGGTCTCTTTTCTCTAAGGTTTGATAACTGTTAGACGAAATGCCATCCACTGATACAGCAGCCTTATACTTAAGAGGCTTAAGAGAACAACATTCTCAGAGTAAAACCTTATGAGAAATATCTATTTGCCTGAATGTTTTTAGAAAACTGGGTTTTCTTTCCACTTCCAAGTAGCAGTATTATTATAATAGAGTTTCATTGCCTTAATCTTCCTCCATTTACCCATGATGGATATCAATTTCCTTACAGGTAGAGAAGCAATTCAGAATGCATGCCTATCATGCCACTGGAATCCACTAAAATGGCTTGCGGGAATTGTTGGAGGAAGTACCTTCAGAATAACCTAAGATTCACTCATATAGTCTTTCTATTTATCAAGGACCTACTATCATTCATCTTTTCAAATAACTTTTTAAATAATTGTTCCTAACAACTTTAATTTACTGTTACAAATTGTGCTTTTACTAGTGACTGTTATCCAGAGGATTCTGAAATTTGAGTCGTTCCTAGGTTGAAATACTCTGGATTTTATGGCTGCTAGAAATGGAACTTTCACTTACTGAAATTTAATGCTCTTGACTAAATTAAAGCCTTGGTTTCTGAATTAAGAATATTCTTACAGCTCTCTAGTTTGAAATGATGTGAATATAAATTTGTATAAGGAAGAATACATTTATTAGAATGCTTCCAGTGATGAGAGATTATATCATAGAAAGAAAACTTGAAAGAAAGTAAGCTCACTTATCAAAAATGTTTGCTTGGATTTTACGTAAGCTTATGATATACCAGCTGGCTGTAAGTGTCTGATAATGATGTACCCATCATATATTTATTCCTCTTCTCAACTTTTCTTTTATTTAATAGCATGTTTTTGGCCCAGAGGAGCCTCTGCTTTCCTAGTGGTAGAGCAAAATTCCTGAAGACAATTTCTTCTTCCAAAATCCTCGGATTCTCTGCTTCTGCTGTAGGTATTGCTTACTTACAGATAAATTATTGTACATATTCTGCACTGTCCAAAAAATACGTAATTCTTTATGTAATTCTTCAGATGCTTTTTTATAAATATTTTATTGAAATGAACATTTCTATTATATATGATGGAGGTGTCTCTTGTCGTTGACTAGAATTAACATTCACTGAGCAACTGCTTGCCTGTCTGTGGATCAGGCAATGTGCTGGTCATTATATATTCATTACCTCATTTTGTCTTCACAAAACTGTTCAAGTTATGAATGTAAGTCCAGTGGCATGGGAAGAACGTAGGAGAGGATATCTCAGGAGGACTGCTCAGGGATGGAAAAAGGTTTAAAAACCATAACCACCAAATACAATGCGTACATCTGCTTTAGGAACTTTATTCAGTCAACCAAAATGCATTTTTTAAAGACAATCAGAGAGATAAGAATGTGGACTGGGTATTAGATGATAACAAGAAATTATTGTTGGTGAGGTGTGGTAATGAAATTGCAGTTACATAAGCGGCAGTACTTTTGAGATATATGCCAAGTATGTAGGAGTGTAATGACTTAAGGTCTAAGATTTGCTTTAAAGTTACTCAGCAATTAAAGAAAAAAAAAAGGAGGCAAAATCTTGAGAATTACTGAATCTGGGTAGTGTGCATATGAGTGTTTTATATTAGGTTAAAATATATGAAATTGCTACTTTTGTATGAAAATTCCATTTTTGGCATATGAAGTGCCATTTTTGTCATACATGGTTGAATATTGGCAATTTTGTGTTCAACCTAATTCTAATCTCTCAGCTGGTTTAAAATTTTCTCAGTGGTTCAAAATTTTCATAAAAAGCATCATCAGTGTCTTCTATATGTAAATCCTATGAATTCTACCTCATAACTGTTTTGAATTCTCTCCTCTTTAATGCCACTGTGACCACCTTTTTCAGGCCCTCGCCCAACATAGAAGTTGGTTGAAGCCAAGGAAGTGGGTGTGCTTCGCCAAGGTGGTCATATGAAACCGTGGCACTAAAAGGGCATTTGTGTGCAGAATCCTCATTTGTGGAACTTTTATTAGACTACGTATGCCAGGGCCCACCATTATGCATTCTGATTCTACATATCTGAAATGTATTTTGAAAAATCTTTCCGGGTGATTCTGATGTATGTCCCAGGCAAGAACCACTAACAATGCATTATTCAAACTTGTGGACTATTTGGGATAGCACTAAATCCTCTCCATGCCTAGCAGTGGAATGGTTGGGTTGTGTGGTAGCTTTATGTTTAATTAAGTAACTGCCAAAGTGTTTGTATCATTTTAACTACACTGAAAAACTGTCTATAGTTCATCAGAGGCTTTGCATTTAAAATAATCGCACAGGGATAAAGATATAAATATTCATCCTATTGCTGGGCAAATGAAAAACACTGGCCAGTGTTACAAAAGCAACAGTGATAAGTTTAAATTAAGAAAGAGTTGTCAGAACCAGCCAGGTAAGTTACTGTGAACCTACTTAGAATATTTGTTTCATCCACATCATCCTTAATGTCATTGAAAACCTACCGGGAAGGTTACCTCCAAGTGAGGGAATAGAATGGAGGATAGACTGTACTTTCCTGTATTACTTGCTTTTTTACAAAAACATTTTACGTATTCTCTAATTTTAAAGACTGTTTTGAATATTAAAGGAAAAATGTAGGTGAGGCACGGTGGCTCACACCTGCAGTCCCAGCACTTTGGGAGGCTGAGGCCAGTGGATCACTTGAGACAAGGAGTTCAAGACCAGCCTGGGCAACATGGCAAAACCCCATCTCTATTAAACATACAAAACATTAGCTGGGCACACTCCTGTAGTCCCAGCTACTTGTGAGGCTGAGGTGGGGGAATCACCTGAGCCCAGGAAGTTGAGGCTGCAGTGAGCTATGTTTGCACCACTGCTCTCCAGTCTAGGTGATAGGAGTGATATGCTGTCTCAAAAAAAAAAAAAGAAAGAAAAGAAAAGAAAAACATGTACTGCTATACAACAAGAAGAGAAAAAAAAAGAGAGAGAAACTCAGAATGAAAATCTTTTTTGGTCCTGTCTTTTAGCACCTAGATCTTAAAGAGTTAGAAATTGGAAGGTAATTTTATATTATCCTCTAGTGCCAGAGTGCCAGTGAATGTTGATGGATAGATGACTGATAGAAAGAGAAGGAAGGAAAGAAGCAAAGAAGATTTCACAAATGAGTTTTGACAAATGTGTGACATGCGTCCATGCTGAATAGTTTCCCTAGGAAGTCTTATATAAAGAAGAATTTGTGAGGATAAGCAGTTGATAGATTATTAATGAAAGAAGAATAGAAAACCAGATGGAATACAAATTGCAATCTGGGCCAGGTGTGGTTGCTCACGCCTGTAATCCCACCACTTTGGGAGGCCGAGGCTGGCAGATCACTTGTGGTCAGGAGTTTGAGACCAGCCCAGCCAACATGGTGAAACCCCATCTCTACTAAAAATACAAAATTTAGCCGGGTGTGGTAGTGGGCACCTGTTATCCCAGCTAGTAGGGAGGCTGAGGCAGGAGTATCACTTGAACCCAGGAAGCAGAGGTTGCAGTGAGCTGACAGCGGGCCACTGCACTCCAGCCTGAGTGACAGAGTGAGACTCCGTCTCAAACAAAACAAAAAAAATTGCAATCTGAAGGACTAAACCTGAAATGAAGGTTAGTCTAACAAAGGGTGACATGTGATAGAGGGGGTGTCAAGAGAGTATGTGGGAACTCCCTGTACTTTCTGTTCAATTTTGCCACGAACCTAAAATTGCACTAAAAAATAGCCTTTTTTTTTTTTTCTTCTTTTTTTGAGATGGAGCCTCGCACTGTCGCCTAGGCTGGAGTGCAGTGGCACAATCTCAGCTCACTGCAACCTCTGCCTCCCGGGTTCACACCATTCTCCTGCGTCAGCCTCCCGAGTAGCTGGGACTACAGGCACCTGCCACCACACCTGGCCAAGTTTTTGTATTTTTAGTAGAGATGGGGTTTCACCGTGTTAGCCATGATGGTCTCGATCTCCTGACTTCATGATCCGCCCGCCTCGGCCTCCCAAAGTACTGGGATTACAGGCGTGAGCCACCGTGCCTGGACCTAAAATGGTCTATTAATTTTTTTTTTAAGAGATTCTAAAATTTAAATGTCCACCAGAGAACCACAAAAGCAACACTGGACAAAACCTTTTCCTTAGGTCTGTCCTTCCTTAGAAGTCAACCCTCTCTCTCTCTCTCTCTCTCTTTTTTTTTTTTTCCATACAGAGTCTTCCTCTTGCTGCCCAGGCTTGAGTATAATGGCACCATCTCAGCTCACTGCAGCCTCTGCCTCTCAGGTTCAAGCGATTCTCCTGCCTCAGCCTCCTGAGTAGCTGGGACTATAGGTGCCCACCACCACTCCCAGCCAATTTTTGTATTTTTTGTAGAGACGGGGTTTTGCCATGTTGGCCAGGCTGGTCTCAAACTCCTGGGCTCAAGCAATCCACCCTCCTCAACCTCCCAAAGTGCTGAGATTACAGGCATGAGTCACTGCGTCCACCCCAACCCTCTCTTTTGACGTGAAAGTATTACCTTTTGTACATTTAGTCCATACCCAACGTTTCTTTGCCTCCTTTAGTGCAAAGTTACTCATCCTACTTGTATCTAAGAGAATCTTTTCTACTTTCTGAGTGGGCACTAGTTTTGGAGTGTATATATTGTATGCCATGAACTATATTTTTCCGCTTATGGCTTTGCCGCATTTAATTACCATAGCACTTACATGGGGCAGGTATTCATTTTCCTGCTTAGCAAATAAGGAAACTGAATTTCAGAGACATCAGGTAAACTGCCTACTTCACACACTAGGAGTTTTGATGTTTACTTTTGAACTAAGATCTATCCGGCTTGAAAGCTCTTTGCATTAAACAACCTTGAACAACATACTTAGAACATAGGTATATTTTTAGCATCAGAACATGGCGTGTGTGAGGGACTGAGCACAGACTTGCCCAGATTCAGACTTACCAATCTTCCTGTTTCGTGTGCCCAGCAGAAACAACCTGTTTCTCAGCCTCAAACCCAAACTTCCAGTTGCCCTGATTGGTTCAGCCTGACTCTGTCCAACTCTGATTTAATTATAGCTATCATTGGGGGGACTGAGATTACACAGTGTAGGCAAGCCAAAGGGCCCCAGGCCTATTGATATGGGTGAGGACAATACTCACACACTCCCTTCACTTACTCACTCTTCCAAGGTCTTGACTTAAACCCAGTTTTTTTTGAGAGAATAAATCAGACTTTTTGTTCTCTGCTTGGCCTGACTCCATTTCTGGCATTCCAGCCATGTGTTTACCTATGTTATCAGCTCTCGGGTTTAGAGAAAGCCTTGTTTCCAATAAGCTTGTTTCTCTGAAGTAATTGTTAAAAGATAATTTTTGGAAAAAGGTTAAATCATGACTCATACAAATATAAAAATGAGCATGTGCCAAAGATTTTTATTTTACTCATGTGATATGAGGTAACCAGACAGAAGTTATAACCAGTACAGAGGGAAAGTCAAAAAGCACAAATTTATATGTAGTAAAGGAATTGGATTGCAAATGAAGGCAAAACTGTTTTTTCTACAGGGTGGAGGGAAGGTAATCAAACTGCTAGAACCAGAGTTTGCATGCCTATCACTTAGCTTCAATTTACAAAAGCGCAAAATAACTCAAAGGCAAATTCTAGCCCCGCAAATATCAGCTCTAAAGCTGTGCTGTGGCCAGTGCATAGTTTTCTATTGAAGTACAATTTTTCCCCAAATATATTATCTCTCAGAGGGAGTCCAAATTGTTTCCCTTTCACTCAGCAGATCTGTTCAGTCAACAGATGTTAAAATAGTTACAGCATATCAGGCACAAATAATTCTTTAAAAAATAAAGTAACAAAATATATGTTGTTTCAAAGTTCCAATTAAGACCAGCCATGGTAGCTCACCCTTATAATTCCAACACTTTCGGAGGCCAAAGCAGGCGGATCACTTGGGCTAGGAGTTCGATACCAGCATGGCCAACATGGTGAAACCCTCTCTACTAAAAATACAAAAATTAGCCAGGTGTGGTGGCGCATGCCTGTAATCCAAGCTACTCAGGTGGCTGAGGCACAAGAATCACTTGAGCCTGGGAGGCAGAGGTTGCAGTGAGCCAAGATTGCACCACTGCACTCCAGCCTGGGCGACTGTGTGGGACTCTGTCTACGAAAACAAAACAAACAAACAAAAAAAGCTACAACAAAAGGGTTCCTGTTAATTATACACACTTTTGAGCTTAATATAATTGCATTTTTTCTTTATGTATCTTTAAGCATCTTTCCCTGCTTTACATTTCCACTTCTGAGTTTTACTTTCATTTCTTCCACCATTACAGGAATATTCTGTTTTCTTCTGCCATCTAGTGGTAAAAGAAAGTAATTTTCCTGGTTTTTTGAATGGATAGTCATCCCTTAAAAAGCATCCAGATTGTGCAGTAGTGCTAGCGACTTCGCAGTTCAGTCCTCGTACCCGACAGCCGCCACTGGTGCTGAGTTGCTAGGAAGCCCCTGTCAGCGAGCTCCTTGGAGCTTGAACCCATTGTCACCCCTCCGACTCACCGGCAAAAAAAAAAAAAATGGTTGAAGCAGATCGCCCGGGAAAGCTCTTCATTGGTGGGCTTAATACGGAAACAAATGAGAAAGCTCTTGAAACAGTATTTGGCAAATATGGACGAATAGTGGAAGTACTCTTGATAAAAGACCGTGAAACTAACAAATCAAGAGGATTTGCTTTTGTCACCTTTGAAAGCCCAGCAGATGCTAAGGATGCAGCCAGAGACATGAATGGAAAGTCATTAGATGGAAAAGCCATCAAGGTGGAACAAGCCACCAAACCATCATTTGAAAGAGGTAGACATGGACCGCCCCCACCTCCAAGAAGTAGAGGTCCTCCACGAGGTTTTAGAGCTGGAAGAGGAGGAAGTGGAGGAACCAGGGGACCTCCTTCACGAGGAGGACACATGGATGACGGTGGATATTCCATGCATTTTAACATGAGTTCTTCCAGGGGACCACTCCCAGTGAAAAGAGGACCACCACCAAGAAGTGGGGGTCCTTCTCCTAAGAGATCTGCACCTTCAGGACTAGTTCGCAGCAGCAGTGGCATGGGAGGAAGAGCTCCTCTATCACGTGGAAGAGATAGTTACGGAGGTCCACCTCGAAGGGAACCGCTCCCCTCTCGTAGAGATGTTTATTTGTACCCAAGAGATGATGGGTATTCTACTAAAGACAGCTATTCAAGCAGAGATTACCCAAGTTCTCGTGATACAAGAGATTATGCACCACCACCACGAGATTATACTTACCGTGATTATGGTCATTCCAGTTCACGTGATGACTATCCATCAAGAGGCTATGGCGATAGAGATGGATATGGTCGTGATCGTGACTATTCAGATCATCCAAGTGGAGGTTCCTACAGAGATTCATATGAGAGTTATGGTAACTCACGTAGTGCCCCACCTACACGAGGGCCCCCGCCATCTTATGGTGGAAGCAGTCGCTATGATGATTATAGCAGCTCACGTGATGGATATGGTGGAAGTCGGGACAATTACTCAAGCAGCCGAAGTGATCTCTACTCAAGTGGTTGTGATCGGGTTGGCAGACAAGAAAGAGGGCTTCCCCCTTCTGTAGAAAGGGGGTACCCTTCTCCACGTGATTCCTACAGCAGTTCAAGCCGGGGAGCACCAAGAGGTGGTGGCCCTGGAGGAAGCCGATCTGATAGAGGGGGAGGCAGAAGCAGATACTAGAAACAAACAAAACTTTGGACCAAAATCCCAGTTCAAAGAAACAGACAAAAAAAAAAAAAAAGTGGAAACTATTCTATCATTACTACCCAAGGACTACTAAAAGGGAAAATTGTGTTACCTTTTTTAAATTCCCTGTTAAATTCCCCTCCCTAAGTTTTATGTTCTTGTGAGGAAAAAGGTAAAACATGTTTAATTTTATTTGACTTTATGACACTGCTTTTCAACAAGCAAATGTTAAATGTGTTAAGCCTTGTTGTACTAGTAACTTTGTAACTTCTAACTTTCCAAGTAAAAGTGTCCCTAAAGACCACTTCCTATCTGGTTTTTCCCAGTAAATGAGGCAAGCAATTTTAAGATCTTCCATAAAACATCTAGCCATCTGAAATGGAGAGATGAATTGTTCTGCCTATACAAGCAAGCTAGCTATTAAGAGGGTGGTTGGGGTATGCTACCCATAAGATTTCATGGTGTTTTCCAACGGAAATCTCAATGTTCTTAGTATGCAAAACCTGAAATCAGATGCCTATGTAAGGAAATTGCTATTCACCCAGTAAACCCAAAAAAAGCAAATGGATAATGCTGGCCATTTTGCCTTTCTGACATTTCCTTGGGAATCTGCAAGAACCTCCCCTTTCCCCTCCCACAATAAGACCATTTAAGTGTGTCTTTAAACAACTGCAGAATACTAAATAAAAAGTTTGGCCAGAACCAACCATGAAGCTGCAAAGGTGCTTGGTCTAACTGTTTCAAATTTTTGCAACTCTAGTGTCTCACTTTTAAAGGAACAGTTTGATTGCAAAGGAGAAAATAGTTAAGTAATGAAGTTATCTCCAACTTCCGAAAGGCTTATGACTTCTAAAAAGTGAATCTATCAGCATTCCACATCAGATTTAAAGCATCAAATGCCTGTGAAACAGCAAAGATGGTTGAGGATTATGCTCATTATGGTTGTGGAGTGCTGCTGATTGATTCACAGTAGATAAAGCTGGCAGTAAGAGAAATCAAATGCTAAGAGTTGTTGAAGCAGAAGGCGGCTGATTGTCAGTAAGTCAGTACAGTTGCATAAGCAGTGCTGTCAGAATTGGTTTGGTGCAGGCAATAGATTTTGCCTTCAGGGGTTCCTGTGGATCTCAGGAAGGCATCAGTGTTGATTAACACTCATAACTAAGGAGTGAGTGGTAGTTACTTAAAACGAGTAATTGACCAAATGGAAAAGGGGAAGTAATTAAGGAAATTGGTAAGTGGAGGAAGTTCTTGTGGTCCTTTACATAGATTTTACAGCTTTGGGTTTCATTTTGTTTAGCTAAAGTCATGGGGACAACTCTTCAATTTAGAGCTTAAAAATGATAGCTCTATCTAGTGAAGTGTCTGTCAGTAAGTGAAACATTTTTTGGTGGTGGCTTATCCAGAAACAGTTTAGTTGTAGAATACAACTTATGAGTGACATCTGGAAAGTAACAACCATGCTAAGATGGCAAACACACTGGAAACAATTGGGCCACTTGGCTTTCTTTTGCTGTATTGTTTTATAAGCCTACTTTACCTCCCAGTCTTGGAAATAAGTTTTAGTTTATTGCTTTGGACACTAGAGCCAATAGTATAATGTTCTCAAAGGAAACAGACTTGAGTTGTTGGATTGGAGGAACTAATTGAACTTCTAATTTTTTTTTTTTTTTTTTTTGTCATAACTATGGCACTGTCATGTTTTAACATTTGCAGCTAAGGATAGTAAGTACAACATTTTTAACTTTCATTTGACAGACTACTACTAATCACAGACCACTAGGGTAATGACCAAATTTATGTGGTTGTTGCACTTCCCAACCCTTCCATATTCTTATAATTACTTGGGTTACAGCTTCTGTGAGGACCTTTTGGCCCTTGAGATATCCTAAATATTTAAGATATTGAGATATCCTAAATATAGTATAGGATATAGAGATTATACCAAATATGAATGAATATTGTTCAAAGCAAGGAGTATGTTAAAATGACGAGACACCAGTTTTGATAAATAGTTTACTGACTTAGCAGATGTGTGGAAAAAGAATCAGATCTTGATTCTTCTGGGTCTATACTGGTTGTAAAACAATGATATAGAAAATGTTTTCCTTGTTTAACTGGTAGTTGAACATAGAACTTGGGTATTATAGATCACTTCTCACTTTTTGGAATGTTTTCTATTGAAACTTTAACATGGCAAAAAAAAAAAAAATCCAAAATCTATGAGATAATTTTGTTAAAGTTGGCTTGCTTGGGGAGATGCTTGGTCCAGAGGGAGAAAAGAGGGCATGATTTCAGAATACTCTGGCAGCTTTTTAAATTCAGCTTTATCAAGTTACAGTAAACTGTATCCGTTTAGAATTACAACTCAATGGTTATTTTGACAGATGTATATGCCATGAAGCTACTGTCACCATTAACATGCACAACACTTCCGTCGCCCCCAAAAGATTCCTCAAGTTCCTTTGCAGTCCATCCCTCACGCTGCTGATTTGTCTTTGTCACCATGTATTAGTTTGCTTCGTGGTGTTGTTCAGTACTTTATATAAATGGGATTGTGTAGCATGTACTTTTTTGTTTATGGTTTCTTTCACACACATAATGACTTTGAAATTCACCAGGTTGCAGTGTATTAGTAGCTTATTCCTTTTGTTGCTGAGTAGTATCCCATTATGTGAATATGCCATTGTTTGTTTTTCTACTTGCCTGTTGATGGACCTTGGGATTGTTTCCAGTTTGGGGCTACTGTGAATAAAACTGTTAGGAACATTTGTGTACATGCCACTGTGTAGACGTAGGTTTTCCTTTCTCTTGGGTAAATACTTAACAGTAAAATGGTTGGGTTGCATGGCAGATTTATGTTTAATATTTAAGTAACTGCCAAACTGTTTGTTTTCCAAAGGGACTATACCCTTTTATATTCCCACCAGGGTTGTGTAGAGTTCCAGCTGCCCAGCATTCCTGCCAACACTCAGTTTTCAGCCATTCTGATGGGAATCTAGTGGTGTCTCATTGTGGTTTTATTTTCATTTCCCCAGGTGACTAATGCTTGTAAGCATCTTTTAAGTACTTTTTGGCCAGTTGTATATCTTCTGTGAAGTTGTTGTCAAATCTTTTGCCCACTTTTAATTGGATTGTTTGTCTTATTGAGTTGTAAAATTTGTTTATATATACTGTATTAAAGTCCTTTGTAAGATACATATTTGTAAATTTCTTTCATTCTATGGCTCAGAATCTGGCAACTTTTTAAGAGATATTTGAGCCCACTGAATGATATATAGATTTTATTGTTTTTTCAAGTCAAGCCATAATAATAACTAATGTTTTTTGAGTGTTCATCTTGCAGTCCCTCTATGGTCATGAAGGTGGGAGATGTGACTCTATTTAGTCTCAAGTAAAGAAGTGCAAACTGAGATAGCGGGTACAAATGGAGATGAAGCAAAGCCCTGTGATGTTCAAGTTCCTGGTTTCTGTTACCCTTCAGTCTGGCTGGACCTCTGCCTTTCCCATGGTAACATGAGCATTCTAATGAATTCTCCCTTTTCACCTAAATTGTTTCAGATTGAGTTTCTGTCGCGCAACTAAGAGATCTGATTACTATAGCTTTGGAACGTCTAAGGCATTTTATGCACTTGTCTCTTCCCCACTGTTCAACCTGAAGCATGTACTATGCCCTTTAGCAAAAATCACAGCTCCGCCAGGTGTGGTGGCTCATGCCTGCAATCCCAGCACTTTGAGAGGCCAAGGCAAGAGGATTGTGTGAAGCCAAGAGTTTGAGTCCAGCTTGGGCAAAGCAAGACCCTCTCTACAAATGAATGTTTAAAAAAAAAAAAAAACAAGGCTAGGCATGGAGGCTCACACCAGTAATCCCAGCACTTTGAGAGGCCAAGTCAGAAGGATCACTTGAACCCAGGAGTTTGAGACCAGCCCGGGCAACATAGCAATATTCTATCTCTACCAAAAAAAAAAAAAAAATTAAGAACAAAATTAGCCAGATCGTGGTGTCACATACCTGTAGTCCCAGCTATTGAGGAGGCTGAGGTGAGAGGATGACTTGAACTTGGGCAGTTGAGGGTGCAGTGAGCCATGATTGCACCACTGCACTCTAGCCTGAACAACGGAGCAAGACTGTCTCAAAAAAATAAAAATTAAAATTAACCAGGCATATTGGCACACATATATCATCCTAGCTACTTGGGGGGCTGAGGTGGAGATCACCTTAGTCAGGAGGTTGAGGCTGCAGTAAGCTATAATGGTTGCACTGCACTCCAGCCTGGGTGACAGAGCGAGACCCTGTCTCAAAAAAAGAGACACCACAACTCCACCCGCAGAAGTAATAAAATCTCATGGAAGCATTAGCAGCCAATACAATTATATAGCAGGAAAGAAAAAGCAAAAAAGCTAGGAAGGAATACAACAAAGTTTCTTTTTAAGATCTGTATTTAAACAAAGACACTTAGGAAGTGGTACAAGTGCTAAGGAATGAATTAATACTAAATGTCATCAGTGTGATGGTTGGAACATCAAAATATATATAAGATATATATTATACATACATATGTATATTATATACATATGTACATATATGTGTATGTATTATATATATACATATCTATATATAATACAGTTATGCTTCACTTAAAAACTGGGATACATTCTGTGATCATAGAGTGCACTTACACAAACCTAGATGGTATATAGCCTGCTACACACCTAGGCTATATGGCATAAACGATTGCTCTTTGGCTACAAATCTATACAGCCTGTTACTGTACTTAATATTATAGGCAACTGTAACATCATGGTATTTGCATATCTAAACATAGAAAAGGTACAGAAAAATGCAGTGAGATAAGAAAATGGTACATCTGTGTAGAGCACTTTCCATGAATAGAGCTTGCAGGAATAGAAGTTGCTCTGGGTGAGTCAGTGAGTGAGTAGAGAGTGAATGTGAAGGCCTAGGACGTTACTGTACACTACTGTAGACGTTATGAACACTGTGTACCTATGCTATATGAAATTTATTAAAACTTTTTTTTTGCTGAGTGCAGTGGCTCATGCCTATAATGCCAGCACTTTGGGAGGCCAAGGCAGGTGGATCACCTGAGGTCAGGAGTTAAAAACCAGCCTGGCCAACATGGTGAAACCTCGTCTCCACTAAAAGTAGAAAAATTAGGAAGGGCACGGTGGCTCACGTCTATAATCCAGCACTTTGGGAGGCCAAGTAGGGTGGATCACCTGAGGTCAGGAGTTTGAGAACAGCCTGGCCAACATGGTGAAACCCCATCTCTATTAAAAATACAAAAATTAGCCAGGCCTAGTGGCAGTTGCTTGTAATCCCAGCTACTCGGGAGGCTGAGATAGGAGAATCACTTGAACCCGGGAGGAGGAGGTTGCAGTGAGCCGAGATTGCACCACTGCATTCCAACCTGGGTAACAAGAGTGAAACTTCGTCTCAAAAAAATAAATAAATAAATTTTTTAAATACAAAAATTTGCTGAGCGTAGTGGCACACGCCTGTAGTCCCAGCTATTCAGGAAGCTGAGGCAGGAGAATCACTTGAACCCAGGAGGCAGAGGTTTAGTGAGCCAAGATCGCACCACTGCTCTCTAGCTTGGGCAACGGAGTGAAACTCTGTCTCAAAAAAAACAAAACAAAATGAAAAATCTTTTTTCTTCAATAATAAATAGAAAACAAATTCACCTACTGTAACTTTTTTACCTTATAAACTTTTTAAATGTTTAATTTTTGACTCATAATAACACACAAACTATATAAAATATTTTATCTCCTTATTCTATAAACTTTTTTCTATTTTTAGAAATTTTATTTCATTTTTTCACTTTTTTTGTGTTAAAAACTAAGACACATATGTTAGCCTAGTCCTACCCAGAACTGGATCATCAATATCGCTGTGTTCTACCTCCACGTCTTGTCCCAGTGGAAGGTCTTCAGGGGCAATAACATGTATGTAGCTGTCATTGCTATGATAACAATGTCTTCTTTTAGAATATCCTGAAGGACCTGCCTGAGGCTGTTTTACAGTCAACGTTTTTTTTTTTTTTTTTTTAGTAAGGGTACACTCTAAAATAATAATAAAAGGTATGGTATAGTAAATACACAAGCCAGTAACATAGTTGCTTGTTATCAGTATCGAGTACTATGTACTGTATGTAATTTTATGTTCTAGACTTTTATATGACTGGCACTGCAATAGGTTTGTTTATACCAGCATCATCACAAACACATGACTAATGCATCGTGCCACAATGTTACAATGGCTCCACTAGGCAAGTAGGAATTTGTTTTGTTTTGTTTTGTTTTGTTTGAGAGGGAGTCTGGCTCTGTTACTCAGACTGAGGTGCAGTGGTGTGATCTCGGCTCACTGCAATCTCCGCCTCCCGGGTGCAATTCTCCTGCCTCAGCCTCCAGAGTAGCTGGGACTACAGGCGCATGCCACTGTGCCCAGCTAATTTTTGTATTTTTATTAGAGACAGGGTTTCACCATATTGGCCAGGCTGGTCTCGAACTCCTGACCTTGTGATCCACCCGCCTCAGCCTCCCAAAGTGCTGGGATTATAGGCATGAGCCACTGCACCCAGCTGCAAGCAGGAATTTTTACCTCCATATAGTCTTTTGTTTGTTTGTTTGTTTTTGAGATGGAGTCTCGCTCTGTCACCCAGGCTGGAGTGCAGTGGCATGATCCCAGCTCACTGCAACCTCTGCCTCCTGGGTTCAAGCGATTCTCCTGCCACAGCCTCCTGAGTAGCTGGGACTACAGGCACTTGCCACCATGCTTAGTTAATATTTGCATTTTTCATAGAGACGGGGTTTTACCATGTTCGCTGGGATGGTCTCAAACTCCTGACCTCAGGTGGTCCGCCCACCCCGGCCTCCCAAAGTCCTGAGACTACAGGCATGAGCCACCATGCTCAGCCTGCTTCGTATAGTCTTATGGGACTACCATCATATATGCGATCTGTCATTGACTAAACGTGTTGAGGCAGCACATCACATGGCTCTGTTGTATATATAATGTAAAGCTTCAATAAATGTATATCAAAAGTGAATATGTTTAGTTTGATAGAACCAGATGACTATAACATTGAGGATATTATCTTTCTTGTGATAATTAGTAGTTTTGTTACAATAGAGTACTCACCTTCCACATCAAACTTTAAAATGAGGGGGAAAAGAGCAGAGACCATATTATTAAAATGCACAGTAGAAACACCAAAATGCAGGGCTGCGTGCTGTGGCTCATTCCTGTAATATCAGCACTTTGGGAGGCCGAGGTGGGCAGATCATGAAGTCAGGAGATCGAGACCATCCTGGCTAATGTGGTAAAACCCCATCTATACTAAAAATATGAAAAATTAGCCGGGCATGGTGGCACATGCCAGTAGTCCTGTGTCCGGAATTTATTCCTTCCTGTGGGTTCTTGGTCTCGCTTACTTCAAGAATGCAGCTGTGGACCCTCACAGTGAGTGTTACAGCTCTTAAAGATGGTGTGTCCGGAGTTTGTTCCTTCAGATATGTCCAGAGTTTCTTCCTTCCAGTGGGTTGGTAGTCTCGCTGACTTCAAGAAGGAAGCGGCAGACCCTCGCAGTGAGTGTTACAGCTCTTAAAGGTGGTGCAAACCCAGAGAGTGAGCAGCAGCAAGATTTATTATGAAGAGTGAAATAACAAAGCTTCCACAGCATGGAAGGGGACCCGGGTGGGTTGCCTCTGCTGGCTGGGGTGGCAGCTTTTATTCCCTTATTTGGCCCCACCGACATCCTGCTGATTGGTCCATTTTACAGAGTGCTGATAGGTCCATTTTACAAAACACTGATTGATGCGTTTACAATACTTTAGCTAGACACAGAGTGCTGATTTGGTGCATTTACAATCCTTTAGCAAGACCCAGAGCACTGATAGGTGCGTTTTTACAGAGTGCTGATTGGTGCATTTACAATCCTTTAGCTAGACGCAGAGCGCCAATTGGTGCATTTATAATCCTCTAGCTAGACAGAAAAGTTATCCAAGTCCCCACTCAACCCAGGAAGTCCACCTGACTTCACCTCTCAATCCCAGCTACCCAGGAGGCTGAGGCAGGGAAATCACTTGAACCCAAGAGGCAAAGGTTGCAATGAGTTGAGATCGTGCCACTGCACTACAGCCTGGCCAACAGCGAGACTGTCTCAAAAAAAAACC